GCTAAGAAATAAGAATATTTGTTACTTCCACAGTGTCAAACTCAAATTAAACTATCCATTGTCAACTATCACTGGCCACCACAGATATGTGCATAACAAGAGCGGCTCACAAATTTGAATCTAATCTAGATACAAACTTATGAAAGTTGGAAACGCCAACTTAAATTAATCACGAAAAAAAACGTAGAGAAATAGTTAATATTTCCTCATTTTTGTTATGAGGGCGTGCCTTAAGACTTGTAAGAAAATTTTAGTTACTGGCACAGAAGTTAGGGTTTGGACTCTGAAGATTTTTCGAGTTTTTCTCACTATTTTGGAGTGATATGCAATGGTTGGAACTGAGAGTTCAGATAAACAAATTTTCATGGTGAAATTTCTTGTAATCAAGGAAAAGAACAAGGTTGTCTTGGCCGAGGCTGGTAAGGATTTTGTCGACGTACTCTTTAGTTTTCTGGCAATGCCAATGGAGACCATTGTGAGATTGCTTGAGAATCAAAAGTCTCAAGCCGCTACTACAATAGGTTGTTTCAACAATCTCTACAAAAGTGTTGTTGATATGAGCAAAGATGATTTCTTGACCGACGCTTGTAAGCATATAATTTTGTATCTGAGGTATTTGAAAGAGAGGCAATACAGACGGTTTAAGCTTAACATCGATGATACCGAAGACCTCAAGTACTATAGGTGCCCAAATTTGGGAACTTCTCAGTCTTGCTCTGAGGCTTATAGTAATTTTTGCTCCTTGAGATGTTCTTGTGGGGAGTTGATGGCAAAGGAGATTAAAGGAGTTGTAGGTAGTTCTGATGAAATATTTGTTAGCCAGAAGACCTTTTTCATCATGACCAAAAATATGAAAGTGGATTTTGCTTCTATTTCCATGACCATGAAGACACTTAGAGGACTTGGTTATAAAAATCTTGATAACATGGAGGCGATGTTTGTAGATGTTGGCCACAAAGAGGTAGCTATATTTTTGTTTTTGGAATTGCAATATTACCTTGTTTGCTTTCTGATTTATGGAAATACAAATCTAGGTACTAGCTTTGCTGGAATGCTTATTCTCTTCGGATACTCCCTTGACTGATGTGTTCTTGAGGAAACAAAACTCATGTAATATCACAAAGATGCATAACATGCCAAGCCTAACCAGACAAGATAAAGGTGAAACTGAATCAAATATATCAATCACTGTATTTGTTAGGAAGCAGGACAAGAAGGTTCTTTATGCTGAAAGCGGACAAGACTTTGTGGATCTGCTTTTCATTTTCTTGGCTGTACCTTTGGAGTTAATGCATTGAACTTGGATGCATTGAAAACTTTTTAAAGCATGCTAAGCTTGCGCTCTAGCGGAGGCACAAATGCATCGACTTGCACACGTTTTTTTCCTCAGCAATATAGGCTCCACGCACCACTGCTTGATGTTTGTTGCAAGAGTGAATTCATTGCATGGTCAGTGACAATAAACTCTCAGCGCTACGCTTTGAAACTGATGTCTCCAAACTATGATGGAAGTGGCGAATTAACAGTTCATTGTAGCAGTGGGATTGTAAGGAGAGCAACTTACATGATTTCAGATGATCTTACTATCACATCTATGAAATCGTCTTCGACATTTTTCATAATGAAGAAGTGGGGCGTAGACTTGGATGATATTGAGGTGCATGCAATCAACATTAGCAAATCAGAGGTATGTCTCTGATACAATTCTTAATATTCACCAACAAACACCTATCTTTACTGTCTAACTGATATAATTTTTTTTATGCTAAATCTGATATTAATATAGGCTAATAGTTTACTGAGAGCTACGTTAATGACATCCAGTGCCTTGACAACGGTTTTAGGGAGCTTACTACTAAAGAAGCCCAAAGAAGAGAAACTCTAAGATACATTTTTATGAGCATTTTGATTTTCAAATCATAACGTGAAATCTTTGTTTCTCTTTTACCCTCTCTGCTCTTTTACTTATATAAAATGCGTGTTGAACTTAATAGACAACCTTCTAATTCCATATGTTATTATTTTTATTTTTATTTTTTGTTAGGATTTAATTAATGAGACATTTACAAAAAATTCACAATATGAATTTCTAAATGCAAAAAAGTCACAAACATGTTTTTGCATACAAAAAAATCACATGAAATATTTTCGGACGAAAATACCCTCATTATTAGTCTATCGAAGTTGTATTTAATGCACTTCACTTTATGTCTGTTAAAATTGCATTTAATGTCATGTTTTATATCAGATCTCGTGCATTTAATGCACCTGCTTTATATCACTAGTCACGTGCACTCACTGAACCAAATATAGACGTACATATGTAATTGAATATCATGTACACTCAATACAACAACTTGTACACGAAATCACATACACACTTGTGTCACTAGTCATGTACAGTCAATGAAACCACATGTGGACATACATATGTAATTAAATATCATATATGTACACTGAATATAACATGTATAAAAATATTAGATGCAACAGTGTGCTTCATGTACGTACACTAACCAGAGAGAGTTAAAGCATCGAACATGAAATAGCAAACACACTTGTACCACCAGTCATGTACACTCAGTGAAACCACATGTGGACGTATATATGTAATCAGGTACACTGAATACAACGGGTACCCTAAAGTCACAAACGTGTTTCATGTACGTACACTATAAAATACTTGCGTTAAATATTTCGGCTTTATGTCATATATGCGAACACACGTACACTACTATCGTGTGCTTCATGTACGTATACTATCAAATATGAAACTCGTACATCTATAATTGAAAGTACAAAAATAGTAAACAATATGCACATATGAATATCATACACACTCA